AAAATATCGCTTAATGGACTATCCATAATCAAACATTCTGGCTGGGAATAAATATTATTGTAGTACTTAAAATAATTTTAGCTCATGACAATGTTAGCTGTTTTTATCGTTTCGTTAGTTTTTTAATTGTTCTTTTTACTTTTATTTTATTTTTTTTTATTATTAGAAAAAATAAAACTTACAATCTGTATTTGAGTAAACACAATAGGCAATTATGTTAACTTTGAACGTGCGATAGAAAAATATAACAATAACATGATGGCTTGATGAGGGAGACTATCCAATGGTTCGTTTTACTTAGGATAGTTCAATTGGCTTTTAAAATTTGTGTTGTTTCTAATTTGGGTATTGAAGTGCAGGTATACGTTTTTTTTAAAATCCAATGAAATCATTCTGCAAGTCTGTGGTATGATGCTATAATTTTTAATATTACTAATAAAGTTATATGTGTTTTTGATTACAAATATGTAAAAACAGTAGTACACCAATAAGTATTAGCCTATTTTTATTTATAAAACCATGACGTTCGACTAGCCTTGACGGTTAGACAAGAACCGTTTGGATCAATAATAATGGGTTTTAATCCTTTGACGTTTCGTGCGTTCATTAATTTATGAAAACGAGCGATTTCGAAAATACAAGTTGAAGTGAGTATTTCTAGAGTATCTCTTGGGAATAGGGAATGTTACGCCGCCCCTTTTGATTTGGTGACAAGACTATAATATATTATAATGTACGATGTCTGACAATCTTAACTGAACCGTGTTCGGGGTATGTTACGGGAGAAAATCGACGAGTCACCACGAGAATTGTGCATTGCGTACACAGATAATAAATCCCGCGTGCTTGTGACATTATTCGGTTTATGGTTTACGATTTGTAACTCACATTTCGTCCGTTCGTAAGTTTAAAATTATCGAACGCTACGACAAGTATAACCTAACTCACGTAGGGTTGAATATTATCATTCGCAGGTCATTGGAACTACAAGTTATAAAGTATACGGTAAAAATTAAACGTCTTCACAATTCGTACAAATGGGCGTAATATTCGTTTGGAAATAAATAAAACCCAAATTGTTGACTGAATAGATCGTGTGTTAATTAAAGTCCGTGTACGTGTTATCTATTCGGATACCTGGAGATAATATGTTCATGGTCTACATGATAAAAACAACTTCAAATTGAGTTCCGAGAAAAAAAAATTTAGAACAACAAGAAATTAAAGTTATTATATTTATTAAATCTTTCGATTTAACTTGACCCGCCTTATCTATACATTCCCATTCTGCACCCTATACACCGATCATATAGTAAAAGTGCATTACAAATTATTATAAACCAGTATTTAGAGGTATTGCTACCCACGAAAAATCACAAAACCACACACGATTACCAATTCGCTCTCTCGTAATGGGCCTGTACAACTATAACTCTATACAATATTTTACAGGTCTTATTTTTTATACCCATTTGATATTGGTAATAATTATCTATCAACGCGGTGTTTGAAATCCCCGTTCCAATACATCCCTCCCCTGGGATAATTGATACCCATGGTATAGCGGTAATGACGGTGAAAACGAAAACTTATTTTCGTACAATCGTACATACGAACGAGAGCCCTCATACCAATGCGAACATTTTACCGCGAGGCGAGCAGCAGTTTTTTCTACAACACGTTCCTTATGACGTGCACAATTTGTTCACCCACCGCCGCAGGATAAAATATTATTTTACCTACAACAATAATTTACCAACGGCGTATTTTGAAATTATAAAATGTACGAGTTAACAAACTGGTAATTATAATCAATAATCAATTTATTGTACTCACACTCGTATATTTCAGAATAGTGTAGAGAAATATTTGTACTTTTGTCACCTTCTTCGTCCTCGATTNCCGAAATTTTACTACCACTGTCGCTCTGGTTTGATTGAGCCTTTAAATAAAGACCAATTTTCGTACGTTCGTATGATGCGTGTTTTAAACGCGAAAACGAGAAATTGACGAATTTCAATTTTTTTTTTTAACGTCCGCTAATCGACTTACGCATCAAATAACAGATACTCGAGATGCGCACATTACCGGGATTTTATCACACAGTACCTACCAAATAAAAATTACATATAAAACTCACAAAATTAAAATGTCTATAAATAGCTCAAAAATGGCTTAAATTTTTTGAAAATTTGACCACGTCTAGAAAAGATAAATATAAGTTTTTCGTCCAAATTTCAAGTCTCTACGAATATTTTTACAACAAATAACAAAATTAAAATAATAATAAAAACATTATTTTCGTAAATTTACCGTTTTTTTTACGTTTTATCCTTGTTTTGCGCAGATATTATAAAAACCGCTTGGAAAATGGAAAAATGACTTCCCACAAATACCATATGGACAATATTTTCTTTTAAAAATAGTACCATGCGTACATGGTACTATTACATCGGAGCAAGATTTTTGGTGGAATCTTTGTACACAGGATAAAAAAAAAAAAACGATAAAAAAATGTATGCGCACACACATACAAAATAATCGACTTAAATTATTGAAACATATAAGAACATTAGAAACGTTTTTATATGATATAAAACATTTTATAAATAGGAAGAGGTATAGGAACATGTATATTATGCTCATTAAAATATGGAAAGTTTACGGAATAAAATGGAAAACTCGCCGTAAGTTTTAAATAGTTTAAAGCCACATCAAAGCTTATCGATTATTTTATTCAAATAATAATGTGTAATACGAAGACGCGTGTTCTTCGCGTATCAGCAAATTGTAATACCGTTATTCGACTTCGCCTTATAATATTGTACCCGACTTTACGCGTAACGCACACCTTATTGTTAACAGAGGCAGGTTATTAACACAAGGTAACTTTAAAATGTTAACATACCCAAGGGAAAATAATGTGTTTTTGTTTGAAATTTGAATTGACGTATTAACATATGATCTCCGTGGAAGGGGATCAGAGTACTCCGTTTACCAATTACCGTATGAGGTGACGAATGGATGACGAAAGCGTTCGTGGGTTCGCATCGCGCGCATCCGATTCGTACGTACCGTGCCAAACGGATTTTAGAATTCTTCGCATTGTAAACTAAACGATAAGTGCGGCCTCCACTAATTCGTAGCGGACGGGTCACGCGCGTCGGCCCGTCGGTAATGCCGACGCGATTTCTCGAAGACGCAACTTTTCCGACGCGTACGTGTGCGTGTGTGTTCGAGTGTGATTTTGTTATTTGCACATATAAAATTCGTATCACCAGATTTTAAAGTTTAATATTCGCCAAATTTAAAATCACCGAAATTCATACGCCGTGTCACCTGTTTAACTCGTAGCGTTTCCCTTTGACGTTTTTCTCACTTTAACGGCTGTCCAATTAACAAGAACACCTTACCTTGTGAGGTGTTTCTCGATTGTCTACTTCTTATTTACAATGTTATACTAGGATTAAATTTAAGATGCATTTATATTTTTTACCGTGTAATGCACAATATTTTCTATTATGTAGATTCCAAAATATAATAATTACCACCCGAACACAAAACAAATAGTCGTAGATACGCAATTATTGAATAAACTCAGATTTATAACTACGTACTTCGATGTTTGGAAAAGGATCTCTTTTACAAGCAGTCGCGACATTCTCTGAGTACCGATTACACTCGTTGATATTGTCATTTTGGCATTTCGTTCGACTGTCCGAACACGTTTGACAATTGGTAAAATATTAGTTTAATAGTTAAGAATTTTATGATAACGGTGCGTCTTGGTCTAATAATAGTCACCTATTAACATAATTACCGGTTAAACAATAGGTACCTAATGTTTTATTAATATATATATATATATATATATACAGGCTGTCCCACTAACAGGCTGTCAATAATTTTATTTCATTATTTTCGGAAAAATTTAAGATAGCCATTCTGTAGAGTTTAATTTTCTGTAAATTGTAATGTATCACACGGATTAGTAGAATTTAAAACGGTTGTTAATTAAAAACTATTCATTGGATATAAATGACGTGTGGTACATTACAATTTACAGAAAATTAAACTCTACAGAATGGCTATCTTACATTTTTCCGAAAATAATGAAATAAAGTTATTTTTGTGATTTTTTCACTAAAAAAAAAAAAAAACCCAATTCAAATTTAAATTATTTATAGTCCTCATCCCTGTGAGTAATATACATATATATATAAAAAAAAAAAAAACAGAATTTGATCATCTTTATTATCTCCGGAGATATTCAAAGGCTACATCTTCGTGGGACAGCCTGTATATCTATTATCTATGTATCAGCAGTGGTGCAGTCGAGCATAATAAACGCGGATTTACGGCGTATACAGTATACACACTTTTCGGTTTTTTAATAATGCGTATACTCCAGACTTTTTTACTTGAAACGCAGGTATCCGTTCACAGAAACAGTTATACTTACAGCTATTATTCGCGTATGTGTATTGTTTATTAATAACTATTATCAAAACATCGCATATTGATGCATGCTATTACAACAGTTTTACCATGTATGGAAACAGACAGTGATCTTTTTCTTTTCTTTTTTTTTTTTTGCTCCAAATATTGTAAAATTTATTATTATTTACTGCTATACCAATACTTCTTAAATAAAAATGAATTTGTTTCACGATTAGCAGTACAATTTCGGGAGGCGAATGTTGACGATATTATGCACATTGCGCATAGTTTTGTAAAACCGTATGGACAGTTTCCTTATAATTTAATAATAATTATAATTGTTAAATTATAAGGGGATATATATTTATATATAATAAACAATAATTGTCTTTTATAATATTTAAACGTATTTCCTTGTTATATACCGAAGTGTTATTTTTTGCAACAACGCAAAAGCTTAAATGTCAGTTTTGTCACTGAAGGGGAGAACGTCATCACATAGGGCGTACAGTATTTTTATCCACAGGTGCGAAAAATCCCAGTTCCAACACTGGAATTACCCGCCTACTACGATGGCCTGTATTCAACTGGGTATGCCCATGGTGTGAAATACGTCTAGTTTTTTCACAACGGAAACGGAAATCTAAAATATCTTCTTTTTTTTTACAATATTATTATATAATCGATTTCAATACACAAATCTATAACGTTATAATAAAATATTGCATGATATCCGGACATTTTCAATAGCAGCGGTTTATTCGTTTATAAATTTACATAACAATAATACATAGATAGGATAATATGACATGTGCACCTAAGTGTAATTGATTAACAATAAAAACGTCCGTTTACAATAATAATATGTACCTTAATCGATTAATTTATACATTATTTTAATTCGTACCACAGCACCTGTATATATATAAATATATATAATATAATATACAATTTAATATTTATAAAACAATACGTAATGTTCATGAACATTAGAGATCAAAATTGTACAAGGTAACAATAGTTTATACGTGTACGACAATTATGTCAAGAAAAATTCCGGACCTATAAAATTCCCGCATTTGGGAAAATCTTCGGGCACTTTGGGAAAGCTTCCCGTAGGGTTTGCCACTCGGAAAATCAACGATAGGCCACTGGACCATTCCGATGTACTTTCGCTCCTGAATAACCAATATCCTGAAACACGGACGGAATGTTGTAATCAATTATATTAGTAATTAATGACGTTTATTATTACGAGCCAGTAGGAATTTTCGTTCGTCGATTATAATGAACTAATTTTAGGCAACTATGTAATACAAACATGACACTATATTTACCTACTGACAACATTTTTACTCTGGAATCATTTACGAAATGTCAATTCGCAATTTAACTATGTAATTGACTATTATATTATACTTTGGTTTTACTGAATGGGTTTTACTTTTTTTCTTTTTTTTTTTTTTTGTAAACAACTTTCCAAACAGAAATATGATTATTGCAATTAAAATACGATAAAAGGTAATTTTCATAAAATTTGAATTCTATATTCTTGGATTTTATGTGGACAAAATTGTTCTGGCCTAACAAAAATGGTTAACAATCGTACACGAAATTCACCATAAGTTAGGCTTAGTGGCAGAAAAAAAGTTCACATTTTGAAGGAAATTTTTCAAATTACGGCATTTCAAATAGGTTCAACCAAACTTAGCTCAAAATCGTATTTCGTTAACAATGTAAATCTTTGTGTAGATATAATTGAAATGTAAATCACGTATCCTATACCCTTCGGTATTTTCGATTTTGTTTTTATTATTTTTTTTAAAGCTGACATTTCGATAGAATACTTATACTTTAAGCCTTTTTTGTACTAAATATTCTGGAGTTCCTTGAGTTATTTGAAATTTTCGATTTTTTAGTTTCATACGTAAATAAAATGTATTCAACGGCTCAAAAATAATTGAAATTTGATTAATCAAATGTTGTTCAAAATTTCAAAATCGAAATTTATAGTGATATTAATATGATATTCATCGCGGTGGATAAAAGCCAATGAAGTTTGGAATGATGAATTGTCCATCATTACCGGGATTGTCGGCGACGAATCGCACGGCTGACACGCCAGCCGCCGGCACGACGACCGTGTTCTTCAGCGCGGCACCCTCGAAGTTTCTCCTCAGCAATCGACCTTCGTTATCCAACTTCTTCGCGTGTTCCGCCGACTTTACAAACGCCTTGCGCTTCTCGCCCACCACGTGAAAACTGTGCCCATGTAAGTGAAACGAATGCGACCGGTCCGCCCTGAACAGCGTGTGCTCTGAAACGACAACAAAACAAATATAAAGATATAAATATAAATAAAAAATGTTTGGTAAACTAGAATTTGATTTGAAACCAGGAGAGAAGGAAAATTCATTAAAATATCCGCTGATAGTTATTATTTATCATCCGTGAGAAAATAATAAATAATGTACTTAAAAATGTCTATAAAATTTCAATTGGGTAGTATTATAGGTACGCTACGTACTGCTGATAGAAATGTAAAAATTAATAATGATACTAGTTAATTTATCATTTGTTCGGAATTATTGTTAAGTTTTACTCGTAGGCATGATAATATATTGCGCTCCTAATATTACAATCCGTTAGAATTTCGGAGTGACTACTATTTTTTAATCAGCAAAAAAGTCATCAAATCTTTTGAGCCTTTGTTTATCTAACCCTTTTTTTAAAAAAAATTTAAAAGTGCCAGTCCCGTCTTTATTCGAATAAAATATAATATTGGTCAACAAACCTATTCGGGAGCCTAATCTGAAATCGCATTTAATATTAATATTCAACTGTGTAATCGACTTCCAATCTGACACTCCTTTTTACATATAAAAAATATCAAATTATATAAAACGATTCTGAGAAGAGATCGTTAAACAAGTGAAATGTTAGTTTATAACTAAAACGATATTATATATTAAATGTACTTCAAAATTGAGTAAGTAAAATCCAATAAAGATAAATGCCTTTAAGTTACAAGCTATTCAATACGAAACAGCAAGAATAATATGTACCAACAATATTTTTGGCGAAATGTGAGTACCTATGTAATTTGTTGTGATGAACTGTTTTTCAATCAATCTGTGGATTTATAACAAAACCATTGGTTATTTTTAGTTCAATTAATTTTGCTCGGTATTTTTTTTATATATATATATATATTATATAGTGATATATGTCAGTACCCGTATCGAAAACGACCAATTCCGTGGCGGAGCCCAAAGGCAAGTCAATGATGTGCGTACACTCACAAGACGTGAAACCAGACCGACATTTGAATGGCACGTTTTCGGAGTTGCACTCGACCACGTCCTGCGGCTGTTGCAGCAGCAGCGGCGCCGACGGGAGTACCATCGACATGTTGTTGAAATTCGGCATCGACCAGCTTCCCTCTGAAAAAAGTTCGTGGTTTAAAAAAACAAAAAAACAAATGGTTTTTCGTTTGTTCCGTTGTTCTACTGACCACCAAGCTGATACTTGATCGAAGAAAATCCCAAATAAATGGTGTTTTTCAATTTGTTCGCCGACAGCTCCCAGGGTAAGCCCGATAGACTCGCCTTAGACACATAATGGTTCACCACAGAGTCGACCTACGGAAAAATGTAAGCGTTTACATTATTGTATATACGTAAATATGGGCGTACTTCTTATAAATATACATAAGCACTTCGACGTTTACGACGTTCCAAAGACGGCGGTCAAATACAAATAGAAAAAAAAAAAACCGACCGTCTCACTGACATATCAACGCACAGCTCAAACCGCCGGGTCTTTAATCTTGACATTTCGTACGTAGATTCAATATAATATAAAAACTGAATACTATATAACCAATAACTATATAAAATGAATGTCACGAAGATATGACGATCTTTGTAGTTTACAGGACAATAGACGAAGTGTAATTTTGACGGACAGTCATATCGTAGGTATTTTTAATTTACTGAATGCTTGTACAGCTAATAAAATAGCTCAATATATCTGTTACTATTTCTGACTGTTGGTAGACTTTATTATAATATTCACATTTTATCAACATCAATTAACCTTTCATACACCCCGTAGAGAAGACATTAGAAAAATTCTACGCAAAGGCGAAGTTTTATGAAACGACTAATAGTAATTTTATTACATTTTGCGATTTTATAGTACCTGCACTATGAAAAGGTACTCAGGTTTTTGTATTCGACTGTTATAATACATTCATTAACTCCTAAAATTTTAATTATTGCGGCAGTTATTGAATTTTAATGTTTCTCGAGAAATAATATTATTATTATGAAACACGCAGCATGATCGAGAGGCAAAATTATTTACACGCCCCAAACTTCAAACATATTATACCTAGAGTTTGCCAAAATAAAAATGTTGAAATGCGAGATGGATATATTCCGACATAATTCTAATAAGAAAATTAGAAAAGATACTTGTGAGTTATTACATTATAAGCCCCATTCTTGAACAATAATAATTGGTTTCACTAAATATAAAAAAAAATCAAATTTTAAATTTTATTATAATAATTAACATTAACTTTAAATGCAAATAGGTCATCATAATACTATAAGTTTTATAAACTTTAGATTCATAGAAAGGCAGAGAAAAATAACTAAAATCCTTTGGTTTTTATCATTTGAACATGCCCAACTTAGAATTATCTAATATATATTGGTCAATGTCTGAATCATATTGAGTATTATAAAAATTTGTTTTATTTTTATTTATATTATTTGAATTGACGTATAAACATTGACTATGTTAAAATTTAAAATAAAACCTTTAATAAAAACCCTAAAAGAAAAAATGGCTACAAAAAAAAAATAGCGAAAAATGCAAAATAAAAGTTTCACTATTGATGTACGAATCGAATTATGTGTACACTTGGAATGCATTGTCTTATAAAAAAGTGCTTTTTTTTTTTTTTCTTTTGTTAACGCACTTTGCGTTTAATTCTAGAATCTATATATTTACATTTACATTATGAATAATTTCTGACAAGCCCCCGGCATACTCACCGACAGTTTGGGATTTTTCATTTCTAAAATGATATCATTCAGCGTCGAATTGTATTGTATGTGCAACGTGTGCGTGAGATTGGAGTCCTCACAGTGACCCCCGGAGCTGACCGTCATGTTGAAAATTCCTCTGTTCTTGCTCGCCGTCAAAACGAAATCTAACGTTTCACCTATATTCAAACAAACCCTACAATATCAGCAATTGCGATCTAATTATAATAGTATTATGTGCGTTTGAAACGAGACCTGGTTCGACTTGGACCGCTTCGACCTGTACGGGTTCAATCGCGTGGCCGTCTATCGCTATGGCCGTCAGAAAATGTTCCTGCGCTTTGATCTCGATCGGACACTGTGACAACCCACCAGTGTTTATCGTTCTAAACCTGTACCTGCCATTGTTCTTTACCGTGATCGTCTTAAATCAAAAATAAATTTGTTATTCGTTTTTTTTTTTTTTTCTAATTAGGTATATGGGTATATAGGTATAGGTATATTAGGTATAACGACATGTTTTTAATAAAATTTGTTCAACAACGTAAAATTATTTTATGTTTTGTGCATTTTTGTTCCGACATAGGCATTGATTAAGTGCATACAAATAATAATAATAGACAACATTGTTTTCTAATATTTATAAGGCAGCCTTCTACATCATAAAAATAAAAATAAATATGTAGTACGGTTTATAATGAAAAACTATTGGAACACTAGTGTACGTACATAAGTAAAATAATTAATCATTATACACTATTGACCACTTCTGCTGAATATACTACCGAGTGATACATTTACCGCGGAACCATTGATTTTCTCGAAAACTGTCGAAGTGAATTTGATTTCTGTTTTTTTTTTCAATTATTATGAAATCGTTTGAGCTTTATTTTAACGCGTTTCCCAAAATGTACCCTTACTCGTCATACCTTAAATGAGTATAGGTTTACTTTGGCCTTTCAAATAGCAATAATTCCCCCATCTCCCCCATTTAAACGAAGATTCGAATACAGAATATTTTTCTAAAACTGTTGATGTACCCAACACTAATATCAGATCGGCCGTTAATGAGCTGTTTTACAGTTAGAAGCGTAGACCATGGAATGCACAAAAAATTATTCTCTGTGAAAATCGCTGGTTCGTGATAAATAGATCACCCTGCGTGCGGTCATCCGTTTACGACACGGTTAAAATTGCAATCTTGTGTTTATCGTAATAAAATAGTATAAGTTTATGGTTACTATATAGACTATAAATGATGTTATACTACAGTTTAGTTTACCGTGTTCGACGGCGCGTTTCCATTTACACGCATTTCATTACTACCGTTTTGAGAAGTAACGTATTCCACGAGCAAAACGTGCGGAATGTCATCGTGATCGTATATGGTGACATGCGGTTCTCTGCGTTTTGATTGCTTTACTATGAACGCGCCGAACACTCTATCGGACAACTCGTCGCCTGTTGATCGAAAATATTGTCGGTTTAAAAACAAAAAAAGGACTGATACTGACGAAGTTTTCTCAGTGGGCAATAGATTTTGCAACATCGTTATCTTATACAAGTTCCAGTTTTTGTAATCGCGCATTTTCTCGGATCATAATTGATGAAAGAAAAAACAAAACTGAAAATTGTGATTCGTAATGTTATTGTTTGTTGTGTCGACGTTCTCAACTCGCAAACAAGCAATCTATATTTTAGGGTTTGAAAATAATAAAATGCATAAATTGTTAAAATCATATACGAACACAATTTTTAAGTGATCGCCTAAAATTGCCAAAAATATTTAATTTAATTTAGTAAAATAATTGTCGTTTTAAATCCATATTATAATCAGAATACTTAATACCATGTATTATATAGGTACTATCGGGAATACCCGAGAACACCTATCTTCGACTTCACAGCGGATCTTAGACCGTTCGATATTATCTTATAGGTACCTGATAATATTTGCCACCAGTGTGTGCCGGGCTGAGCGGCCCTAAATTTATATTGAAACGTGGTATGCGGTAATATTGGACACTGTGTGACCATAGGTGAACCGTCCATTACCGGCGTCTCTTTCTGCCACTGGCCTCTCCAATGTACCGAAACACTGTGACCTGGTATTCGGTTGACAACGTCGATTACCATTATATCGTTTTCGCAAACCTGTAATAAATATATTCAATACTCATAAATGCAAAATAGATAATCAAATAAATTATTGAAAAAGTATAGGTTACTGAAAATTTCAAAAAAATGAGAGCTGGCTAGCCCCCGTATAGGTGCGACCATTGTTGTAGGTGGGGTACATACAATTATTTATACCTACAAACAACGATAAACAATTGCTAACGAAAAACGAATTTTCTTTCAAAGAGTAATATATTTTAAAAAAAAATTACATTTTTACTAGAAAAAAATAACTTTGTATATTTTGTTCAATTTTTATGGAATGTCTAAATAGCCAATTTATTATAGATATTATCCTTAACATTTTAATCTAACATAAATTTAGAAACCAATGAATATTTTCCAAATAATAGCCGTTTTAATATCTGGAAAAGAACAGTGAATCAATTTTATTCAATTGACTAATTTGTTGGAATTACGCGATGGGGAATCACGGTCGTAATAAAAATGTCAACTGACCATTGATTTTCCAATAATTCGGAAAACCGAACAAATAAACGAAGACCCGCGTTCTCGAAATTTTAACAAGTTATAACGTTATTACTCCGCAAATTCACCTTATAATATTCAAGTTTGCACGCGCACAAACCACATTAAAGAAGCTAATTTACATAATATATTGCATAAGGAAACTTTATGCAGTTTTAACATAGGTATGTAATGGAAAATAACATGATATTATAATATTCTCGTTTGAAATTTGAATTACATAATTAACAAGAACTCCTACCGAATACTAATTTACAATTGCATTGGGTAAATCATAATTAATATGAATTTATATAACATCAATATATTATATTATATTCAGATTCCGAAATATTAATTACCTACAGCTGGAATACGGGATAAATAGTTATAGGTACCCATAAGGTTATTATTTTAATAAACTGTGTAAAAAAAAAACGTTAACGATAAAATATAATTACTCGTATAGACGGTCCGGGAACTTGTCTATTAGCCGTAATGACTTTCTCCGAGTACCGATCACAGTACATATTGTCAACTTGGCATTCCGTTTGATTGTCGGAACACTTTTGACAATTGCTGAAATATTATTATTATTATTATTATTTTTTTTTTTTTATCAATTAATTGATCAGATCTATCAACAACAATAATGTTATAGCGACATTAATTTAGGTTTAGTTATACGTTATTAGTGCGTCTAATAATAATAACCATTAAGTATTAACATAGTTCACGAATTAAATAATTGGTGTTTAATGGTTTTTTTTTTTTTTGTACACATATTTTTACATTCGACTAAGCAATTAGTAATAACTGTACTTATACCGACATTCAAACATGTCTTTTTTTTCAAATACAATTCGAATTACCTACTTACATTAGATACATGATAATAATATCATAATCAAATTTCAACAATGCGTATGGATTTCGGTACTGTACATGAAAACAAAACTTCAATATTTAAATAGGTAGGATTTCGACATAGATATAACCTGTAGGTACACACCAAAGTATGTGTTTCGTTTGTTTTACGTGTTTAAAGATGCATAGGTATTTGATACTTTATAATACAACCTATCAACTATAATAATATTAAGTATTTAAATTATGATTCTTATTACTTTTGAATTTGTTGACTTTCCAGTACGATTCTGAATCTGCAAATTAAAGGCCAGTCCAGCTCGTGGCACTCTCTGTCGCAGTTTACTTTTGAAGCTTCTGAAAACCGTACGTTTTAAAACTATAATAATACTGTTACATACGTACCGCACGTAAACAGGTTGGTATATGGTATAATGAAAATCGTCTACTAAACCTAACCTATCCTAACCTAACCTAATCACCACAGGCTAAACTTTTAGTTTGCCCCCCCCCCAAGACCCGTCAAAATCCTATATAATGTAATAAAAGAAACACTTTACTCGCAAATGTCGATATCAAACCAATCTGAACAAATTAAGTGTTTACAGGACATACGTTAATGTGCATGGAAAATAATTAATAGATTATGTACGAAAATCGGCGGATCGCGGAAAAACTTAAAAAATAGAGATATGAAGTAGATGATAATGAATAGGTAATATAATACGCCTACACGACGTAAATATAATGCTGAACACACTATACGGAATACTTACTAGAGTACTCCGTGTGCCCAACAAAATATCCGACGGAAGGTTTATGGGAAGCCAATAACGAGGTAACAGAAGGTCACTGATCTCTAACTAGATGTCTATAAGAGGAAAAGATGATAATAATTACACTCGCGGCCGGTCCGAGATGCACGTACCTAGGTGTGTACTAATATTTACTCACTCGGTAAGTCGGTATTCCACAGAACCAATCCCGTGATCGTGGCTACGCCTAACATGGCCGAAATTCGACTCCTAAGTCCGTTTAACCGTCTCGCAGAAGCCATCTTCGCGAAATACAATTACTTCGCGTGCGACTACGCTACTGCAGGCTCGCGCGTAATGAGCGCTTCTCGGGCGTTCGCTTCAATATTATATTATAGCCGTTGCGCTGTCCACTACGAAGTATAATTGTCGTGGACAGTGCCACTTCGATTTTCCCCTTTCGAATATAGTATTTATGTAATTATTGTACGAGCACTCTAAACGGGCGCATTGTCCGCGATCTTCGCTTTCTCACATTTCCGACAATAATCGTTACATATACACTCGAAATAATAACAATAACAATACGATACGTCGCCTATTATCGCGTATAGATTAGATACCTTACCTGTATAGATAATAGATTTATATATATATATTTATACGTATAAAGACAGTTATACGCACGCAATCGCAACGTGTTTGTATTATTATAACAGCTAGTGTTATACATTTTTATAAACGAGAAAATCGGTTAAATAACACCTATGTATAGGTAATAATAATATTATCGTTATTGTTGTTAAATTTAATTTCAAAATCGTCAACGAATGATTAAGAATATATATATACAGGGTGATACACTGATACATTTATCGTGAACCAAAGATTTTCTCCGCGGAATATTTTAAGAGAATTTGATTTCTATTAATTTTTTTTTTTGTTTTTGTTTTTATTTAATTCTCTTTAGCTCTTATTCTCTTTATTCTCATTAGTTCTCTTTAATTGAAGGCCAAATACTCAAAGAACCTTTTTGAAATTTATTCAGAAACACTCTCAAATTCGTTTACGATTTCCAGTAAAATAATTTCATTTTCAAAATTGAAATCCGCCAAATACAATTCATATAAATTTTTATCGTGGTTTTTAAATATGAAATCGACTAAAATATACAGTTTTTCACCATTCTCATTCCCATTACATTATACATATCGACATTTGTTGATGAATATTTTACAGTCTAATTTATGTTTAAAAAAAGGAGGTTCTTATTTAAAAATCGAAAAGTGTATACCCGTGAAAGGTATCGTTTAAGGTATAAGTAATGGGGTATCAAATTGTAAATAGTGTTAAAATGAAGCTTAAACGATTCGATAATGATTGAAAGAAATAAACCAAAATCGTCTTTTCTCCTCCGATAAATTCATTAGTTCATGATAAATGGATAACCCAATATAATATACAGTACATAGTATTTATACTGAATACTATACCTGTACGTGTAATATTGTTTAAATTATTTTGATTTTACCATCAGAAATGCGGATTTCAACACCACGCACACACACACACACATGAAAAAGCGATAATAATTATCCTACAGTAACCAATTTAATAATTATGACAGTTGCTTAACTCTAAGAACAAATTAATAATAAAATCATTATACTTCTGTCCTAGTAAAAAGAAAGACCACTGAAATCGTTATTTCGACGGTCAAACCTTGAGTACCCGTAAACTGGTATATATGTAAAAATGGCGCAACTGTTTACAACAGTTCGTAGATAGTAAGTTCGTATAACACCGCTATTCGACGGAGTGGGGAGATGGTAGAACATCCGTAAAATATCCAAAAATCCTGCGTTTTAAAACAACAATTATTACGCAGAATAAAGCATTCGAATAATAATAATTGTTCTAAATCGAGCTGATATACTCATGGAATTTGACATAATAATATTATAATGATGACGAAAAAAAAGGAACAATATATAAGCTCGATTAAATAAAACAATCGGTTCGACTAGTTTTAAATTTATATTTTTTTAAGGAAACGAAACTTAAAATGATACCTATCTTTAGGTATGTATATATAAGAGTGTTCTTAACCTTTAGGTTACGAATAATTTTGATTAGATCACCACGACATTTTAAAAGTTTAAAAAAGGATGTTTTACAAATTAAGCCAATTTTAAAACAAGAAATGGACGAAAATCCTACTTACAAAAAAAAAGGTAAAACCTTAACCTCTCACTGCGTGATTTTTTTTATATGACAAAGTGATAATACGAATTATAATTATATTTGTGGAATATCTATAGCAAAATATAATTTAACCGTCGTAGTTGATACATGTAAGGGGTTGTAAGAGCGTAGCTTCTACCATTAATTTTTAACTTAACTTTAGAAAAAGTCACGTGAAAATTTGGTAAATATCATGGGTCACATAAACACAAAGGTTGAGAATCAGTGTTGTATAGAACATAAGGTCGGTATTTAGGTTGGGAAAATTGGAGACAATTGCCCCGGATGGCGGAATTTAGGGGTAGTTTTAATTTTTATAAAAATATAAATAAATCTTCAGCTAATTGGAAGAAGGCAGGAGCATACGCAAATGTGATAATGGTCTGTTTTTTTAACATCACGTATTTTTTGTTGCCCCACGAAGCATCAAATTCCTAAATATGGCCCAGATATAACGCAAAAATTTAAATTTTAAACTTATAATTAGCAACCAAAAAAACCTAACGAGTTATATAACTTATCAACTTAAAGAAACGTACAGAAACATTATTCAACATAATTACTTATATATCATTGTTTTTTCTACAGCCCTGCCTAGGCTAACATAACTAATTTCTAATGTTTTTTTTCATATGATTGACATCCATCCATCAAATACGTTATTTCCTTATTGATGCGAGAGACTGTCAATAATTAAATACCGTAATCATTTTAAATTTGAATTATATAATAAACGTTTATAAAATATGACTAGGTACCCATCATCTATTTTTAATAACATTTCTAATTTAAATTATAATGCAACCTATGTATTAGTAAGTAATATAATACTCGTAAATACGCGAATGCGGGAAAACAAAAGGTATTATCCAAAAAAACAAATCTTCATAAAAATCCAACTAAATTTCATGAGATATGATAATTTAAAACAAGAGTGTGTTCTTATGAGTACCAATTGATTTCTGCAAATATACTTATTCCTAAAAGCAGTCGTTAAAAAATACTTAATTTATTTTTATCCAGAAATTATATCACTGCAATATACATTTTTTTTGAACCCAGCAACTTAATTCTCGAAGCTTTTATTTAAACAAAAGCCTATTCTGAAAAAAAAAACTGCATCGTCGCTAAAGACAATCAAATCCACCGCTGAGTTCAACAGAAAACATCATGTCGCCTTGAAATCGTGTGAAATGTCAAAACACTAGAGGCCTGCAGGTTATCCAAAATCGAAAATTTAAAATAAATTTACTCGTGTTAAGGATTTCGGACTTTTATTCAGTTATAATGGAATGTGTACATCATCTTGCAGTCATCTAATCTACAATAACATCTCAAATAATTATAATAATGTATATACGTGCATTAAAAAAAAAAAATCTCCAACTAATTAGACAAATTCATTAAATTAATAAAATAATAATATTCAATATAGCTCTTTATCTGGTCTGTTCTGTGGCGTATTACGGAGAAAGATTTATCCCTCTCCCTCTTAACCTTTTGTTAGTATCTATTATTTATACGGCAGTCTGTCTTTAAATTCAAATTTTTTGACTTTTTATTCAGAAGAATAATCTACAATTTAATGTGTTGGTAGGTACCTACCTATAGTTAATTTAACTATGTATAAAAAAAACTGAACATATACATAATATTCTTGTTTAAAACGAAACCTACATCCGAACCATTACCTTATATGAAAGAAGTTATATTAGATTATAGGGTGACCATACTCATTTTTTGTGCAAGATCGTCTTTTTTCAGCTTTGTGTTCTGTTGTCCTGACGATCTTCTTTCGGGACATTTTTCGTCCTGTTTTTTTATGTCGATACCGATTATTCCGTATTAATTCTTATTTTATTTAATTGAGAATATAAATATTTTATAGTTTTAACATACAGATTGTTGATGTTATTTTATTTTTTAATAAAATAAATTTGCTAACGAAAATATTCATTATAGATTATATCAGTGATTGTGATTGTATTCATGAAATATAACAACCATATACAACTAATAAACACCATTGTAAAACCAATACATTCCTCTCTCCACTCAGAATTTAAAAAACTTTATTGAATGTATTACTGAAATTATTTTGTCCTGTTTTTTTATTTTTTTAGATATGGTCGCCCTAGATTAGAACCTAAAAATAATAGATAAATGTATTATTATTATTTATCTAGATATACATTAAGATTAGTAGTTATAGAAGATTTGAACTATACATTTAGAGCAAATTTAATTATAAATTACTTACAAAATTATATGAATTAATAATTGATATATATATTTAGCTTAGATGCAAGTTATAAAATATGACACAATTTCTAAATTCATTATCTCCCTCCTTGACAAAATCCTAAGTACGCCGCTGGATCTGTTTACTATATTATCGATGATATATTGGACCCATGCCATGTAAACAAATTGACAGCGATGACTATATTTATTACATATACAATAGCAGTGGATCCGTTATAGAGACTACCGTATTGTATTTTTAATGAGCATTTCGTACAATTTCAATCGTTACCACTGTATATTAACTTTCACTCGTTTATTAATAATAATATAATTATAATATATGAAATCGATATACGTTTTGTAGTCGCGAGAAATTTTAAAAGATTTAAATCTAAAATCAATAAGACTTAGGTATGCAATATGATAGGTATTATAGTTTTTGCCTAAAACAATTTAAAAAAATGTACACGTAAATTATATATATTGGTTTTTTTTTTTTTTTGGTCACGGCAACTTTCACAGACATTTTATCACACTGCTCTCTGCATTACAGTTATCTTAAAATATCCAAAACAACTGTAGGCACGAATCAGCGGCAGATTTGGTTCGTCTTCTAGGGAGGGTCCCCAATATCTTTTTGGTTCAAAAATTATACTTTTAAGTAACATGACGTCAGTCAATCAATGAGACCCCTGACCGCTTAATGTGATAGCACAACTATCTGCAGAGGCCGTGATTATAATTTATTAACACTCTGAACTTCTATACAGATTTCTAAAAGAAATTATTATTTATAGGTAATTTCATGCCTAGGGGGAAATGGCCCCTATTCTCCCCCCCCTAAACGCCACACCTGGCACGGATGATGGCCCGACAATTTCACACAGTGTGTGACGATTTCAATTTTCGTGGCATTGATTGCATACCTACATTGCACATAAACCATCTTTCGTTGTAACAACAATGAATCGGCAGGTACTTGTTAGTAAAGTGTTTGGTATATGAATATATGCTATGAAAATATATTATTTTTAAAAATAAAAACACACTATAATGACCAAGCGTTAAAATCTCTACAGTGCGCAATATCATCATAATAACGACCTTGGTTCGGAGTCGCGATTTGAACACGATATCAAAGCTGAAAAGTATGGCCGCTTTTACTGGATCCCTCCCCCAAAAATAAAATCTTAAACAATTACAACATAATATTATTACTTTATCGTACGTGAGAATTTGTATGGATTTGTACTCGTAATATTATAATGTAAACTCTATAAATAAATTAGTGATATTATTATATTATTCCGGAATGAAAAAACGCTTAGACGCACAGTCGTGGGTTTCTTAAAAAAACGCGGTATTCTGGGTTGGAGATAGCGGGGGCGGATGTACTTGGGGTGATCTCCAAAAACCTTGATAATTTGAACTGTTAAGTTGGCAATTGCACGAAAATTTGATTTTAAATTTGGAAAAACTAATAATTTCTTAGTTTTTTTTTTTATGGTATTTTTTCCCCGATTACCTACAGTTTATATTATTATAGTAAAATGTATTACTCATCAAACGACAAAATAATAGGCAAAAGCATTTATTGAAGTCTGTAAATTATATACATATAGAGTCGGCCAATGAATAATCACACCCCTTCATCGATTTTTGTTAACGTTAGCTGTCACAGTGACGCAATGTTTCGTGCGGAAATACAACAGCGATTTCAAACTGGCCCTACGGCTCGACCAAGTTAATTATTACTTGCTTATTTACATTGTAAATTTTAAATACATCCAAGAAAATTTTATTAATTCAAAACGAATATTACAATATCCATTTTTACCACGTTCGATAGCCGATAATTTCAAAAACACCTAAATCGTAAAAATGTATATTATTAATTTGACGAATCATTGTTTTGCCTATGCAGATTACAATATAGAGTTCCATGAAGATTTATTAATCGCAATGATACAACGGTGTTATTAAAGGTATAGATGTTTAAATTTAATTTTTAGATTTTAGAGAATATAACAAGGAATACTCATATTGTTTTTACTTACAAGTATATTGTGCCTATGATTTTTTTTTATATATGTTGTAGTTCAGTTCAAAATAACCGTAGAGCTTTGAAATTTTCCAGACCTTTTCCATAAGTCGTGTACAAACATATGAATTTGGTAAGACAAAAACGGAAGGGAATAGGACTTTTAAATTTTGAAAAAGCCACTATCACTTTATAGTTTATAAAAATCAACATTTTTTTTTTGTCCATTAAACAGTAATGTAAACAATATTCTTTATCATTCCTGTGCAACATTTTAAAAAACCTAAAAATACAATTAAGTATACCAAATCTCAATATTACCCAATAGTAATAAATGGCTCGAAAACCCGCTAGGGGCAGTTCGTAAAATGGATGAAAACATTATGCTTCTGATATTTGATAGGAAAGTTTTAAGAATAATTTTTGGTTATAATATTGACGAAAAATGTGGATGATTATAAAGAAATAAATCAAACGACTGTATCGAAGACTAAATAATATAGAAATAATAACGAAACAAATACTGAAACACACGTGACGAAAAATTGACGAATATAAATACAGTCAGTTTAGTATTAAAAACCTATACAATATTGATACTAATAATTCTTTAATACTATGGGCAATTATGTTACCCCCTTCCTCTCTATACGAACAATATTAAAAAGTCTTCGTAAAACGATTTTTATAGGTACTTTTTTTATAAAAACACAAATTTAACATTACAACATAATTAATTCTCTGTTTTCTTTACCGTGGATATATTATTTGTTCAACTCGGGAAATTATTTATAGAGGGAGACTGCAGTGGCTTCATCTACTCTCAATGTTTCGTTAGTTTAACATAGGTAAAGTCAATTAAGTAATGTATATTCACAACGATAAATTATTTATAACGAAAAACGATCCCCAGCAAAGTTCGGTTGAACATGTTTTTGACGACTTTCGTCAAAATGTTAGCTTAAACTGGTGTTAAGCCGACATTAATTTGTCCGATATTTGCTACCGATATCCTATTCAGTCGATACGATCCAAAATCGATAACTATGAGTTTATATTTAAATTAACCAATGTCCAATATACGAGTATGGATTGAAAATTCGATTTTCTAAACGGCTTTTTGAATATTCCAGGGATATTATAGGTAGACATTTTTTTACCAAAAATATCGGAACAAATATCATTTTTGAAAAAAAAAATAAAAACCTGATATCCGATATTCCGTTATCCTCAATATCGACTTATGTCGATGATACAACTACTTGAAACGCTTATTTATTAAGTATTTATTTACGAGTAATAACCATTTTAATAATTTTGTTTTTACTTTATTATTTTATTATTGCGCATAATTTGTTAACAGAAATTTTAAAAAGAAGATGATGATCGGAACAAGAATTTTGCAGGTATAACCGTTGATTACCAACAGAAAAAAACACACACATCATACACCATGGACTCCTAGTGGTGCAATAGCGCAGATCTTTACACTTCATGTCAAAATAAGTTTCCCCCCTCCCCCGTTTACATGGATACCCAAATTGCCACCTAAAATCGTTTAAATTTTACAGGCCTTGAAATGTTGCTAACCGAAGTGATTTCCATTTTCGCACATCCCTAAATACGTCACTGTACATCCCTCGTTACTACGTTTAAAATATGTATGAATAGAATAAAATATTATGTAATTTCGTTCGAAAATTTACAGTTAATGTGTCTATAAAAAATTCTTATAATGTATAGTGCATAATATTATCGTATAATTACCGAGATCAGGCATAGGTGTATAATATATTATGGTAACCACGACCGACAGGAGACCAATTAAAATGGACAAGCGGAACATGCAGGCGCACAGAATATTGTTTTCGGTCATTTTTCTAAAAGTATTGTTTTTCTTATTTAAAATAATATTCGATGGTAGGATATAATAATAAAATATGTATCGCGGCGGTTTAATAAAAAACAAAACACTTAAAATGTGTGCATTTTGCGAACAACTGCACGTCCGTACGACGGCGGCCAAGGAACGTTCGATTTCTGATGTATGGCGATTTTTCTGAAATTACGGCGTAATAAATTTACTTGTGCGGCACAAAATCGACGGTATTATACCGCACGATAATGATAATAATACAATTTTACACACGCGGCGTTTTTATTATTTCTACGGCGACGCGTTGAGTAAGAGATAGCGACACACTAGTGAAACTCAGACACGACGCCTGGAGACTGGACCGCGCTGTAATATACGTAAGTACCTAAATAAAAGTAGGCCAACCAATGTGTTACCGGCTGGTTATAGTAGTTACATCAATGATATAATACCATTACTTTCCTATGTGTGCGAATGCAAAAAAAAAAAAAAAACGTTCAAGGGTGACCTTTGTGCATAGTTGTACACACGTCACAATATGTGCCTAAATAAAGTTTTATTACCTTCATGTTTTTCGTAGGTCTAGGACATTTTGCCGCCACACATTCACCACCACCGTTCCGCAACAACAACTGACTAGTCAGCCGCCGGACATTTCGCCCCCAAATGAATACGCAATATACCTACGTGTTCTAAGTTATTGCCGTTTTGGTTAGAATAATATACGAAAATAAACAGAAATAAAAATTACATAGGTATTTTAATTCTAAGTAATATAAATAATTACATTACTAAAACTTTGTTGACATAAAAATATCATACTAATGCATATAAATCTTAATCTCAGAAAGATAATTTAATTGGTATTCTACAAAACCGCTTATGTATAAACTAAAAAAAAAATATGATTATAGTTAGTATAATTTGACACGCATAGATAAATACAGTCCAATGGAAGAATCAGTCGACTCCCTGTTCATTTATATACCAAATTTTAGCCCATTAAAATTAAAAAAGATACTAGAGATAGGTGCGGCCACTGTTGTAGGTGGGTAGTAGGGAATGTGGATTACATAAAAATGTTAGTAAATTTATACCTGTAACCTACGATAAATTGATAACGAAAAACGATTCGGAACAAAGATCGATTAATGATGTTTTGAAAGTTCATAATATTTACGGTTTTCGTCATAATTAAAAATTTAATTTGAACTCTTATAAAAAAAAAAAAAAATACTACATTACACTAATTTTTTTATTTTTTCGACCACTAAATACGACTTATAATGAACCTCCTGTCAAATTTCCAAGCATCTTTGTTTAGTCTAACAATTTTATCCAGAGTATCTACCAAATAAAAATTACATGAAAAATCTCGTAAAATTAAAATGTCTATAAATAGCTCAACAATTTGAAAATATTATCACGTTTAGAATAGACTAATAAGTTTTCTGTCAAAATGTTGAATCTTTACGAATATATTCAACTAAATTACATAAAAATAAAAAAATTTAAAATACGTAAATTGTCTCGTTCTTTCTACGCGTTTTTCGGTTTTGCTCAATTATTAAAAAAACTATAAAGAAAATTAAAAAACCAATTATTTACTCACGAATTAAATTAAAATCACAAAAAAAACTCTAAATAATTAAAATAAAAGAATCCTAGTGCAGTAAACTCATCAGTTTACATTTTTCATTATTTTTTGGTTTTTCTCAATTATTACAAAATTTTAGGCAGGAATATTTATTTTATTTCTCGATTATAACTAATTAACATAATATCATAAAACATGAGTATTTTTAATAACCTATCCGAATTTCCAGCAGTCATCACTGTAGGCTGGCGACTGGTAAATTCACCGATTATACATTCCGAATTTCTGATACTGTAATAGTGATTTAACTTATACAACAAATGCAACAATTTTTGACGCAATATTCATTATTAATTAATTGAATTGATTTATATTATTCATTGGTCTTGATTAGTCGCTCTTTCTATTAAGACTTGAAATTTATTTTCATTAATATTTTTCCACTGTTGTTGAAATATTTGGAATATTTTAATCAGTGGCGTAATTGGGGAGTCAGAAATGTATTGATTTGCAACCCCTGAAATTTCTATTTTTCGTTTTTATTATTTAATTATGAAAAAAAACTTATTCAAGAATGACAAAATTGAAATTATATATTATCAATACTCCACCGATAAAAATACAATGAATTGATTAAAATTTACAAATCACTACTCGCTATTATAAATTAAATAAAAATAAACCTATTTTTAAATTCAAACTTTTCAATCATCATATTTTTACTAATATAATATTTAATTATATTCTTTAATGTAAGTTATGGAATATTTTAATTATTAAACATTAAAAATTAAAAAAATATAATAAATTCAAATATAGAACAATAAAGCAGTTACAATTTTGTATCCTAATTTATAGTAAAAGATTATGCGATTTATAATTCATAATTTTGTGTAATAACGTGTACCTGTATAAAAAAAATTATATAGATTTGTGTAATGAATTTTATATTAATAATATATAATAATATGATTGTATTAAATTATTTGTTTTTATAATGTTGAATGTGGGGGCAGGTCTTTGCAACCTCTGACATTATGCCAAAATTACACCACTGATTTTAATGTTTGGTCCAGTCAACGGACTATTATAACAAATAGTAAAAACAGATCCTAAAACTGATTCTAGTACATGATGACGACATACAAGTTATAATTTTCTACCGATTTTATCCTCACTTAACTTAATCAGTGCCGCAACTATACAGAATTAGGGGGTAGTGTACAATTATTATATTGGTTCCCTTTCTAGGTTAATTTTTTGCAAGTACCAACATTTTAAGGTTTTAAAACGCATTTGACTTCTGTTTGTGTGTGTGTATATATATATAATATGTATAAATATAAACACAATTATTTTTAAAAATTAAATTTAAGATACAACCAATTTTAAGAATAACACATTTGATGCAAAAATAGAGCAGCTCCATGTAGTGTCAAGTGTTTCTGGCTGTTGTGTCAAATAATAACGTGATCTGTTTTATCCCAATCAAATAATGACTCTATAACAGCATTTCACAAAGCTTCTACAGATCCAGATTCAATCTTTAGAACATTGAGGAGCTAACTTACTCAATCTTCAGATAATAAAATAGGAAGATGATCAATTTAATCTTTACCAGTAATATCAGGTAATATAAATCTATCCCAGTGAACAGTAGTTAAAGAATATTTCAGATTAAAAGATGCTTATATATTCTCAGCAAATTGTTTTAAAATAACTTCTTCGAATAGTTGAATGATAGGTCAATATTGTTTATATTAAAGCCAAGGCTTTGAACACAATATAAATTCAATCATAAAATAAAACATTCAACCCGATGTAATTTATATTTAAAGCTTTTTTTAGCAAATTATATTTTTATTATTTTTACTTAAGTTATTTTGTATTATCATCAACTGTTATTTTAAAATATGTAAATAATCATATGAAAACCAAGTTTGTAAAATAAATTAAATATTAGATATTTTAATATTTTTCTTGGGTAATAATAGATTTATGAGAACTTTGTATAAATACACTAAAACTTCCATATAACTTATAGTATGTATAATTTAAAATAAAATAGTTGTGTATATTATAATATGTATCAAAATTAAAAATACCTTGATCTAGAGACTAGCAGTGTAGCGTTGTATTTGGTAGTAAAAATCCTAATTATATATTTTTATAACTTTTAATCAAGATGACGTGATGTAGCATTATCCAAAAATGAAGTAACTGTACATACGCTTTTCTTTTTACATTTTTACATTAAACCACATTAAACACTCAGTCATTATACTTCACATCATACATTTTTTTTTTATTTGCCTCCCAGACGTTTTATGTCTGCATTTTTAAAACAACGAGGTTTCGGCATTAAAAATATTTTTTAAGACTCATAAGAGAAATTCATTTTTTACTTTTATACGCTATTCGTCCAGTTTCCGTATTAACTATATTACTTTCACCACAAACAACTTTATAAGAAATATTATACCGTGCTTTAAATTTATCATGCCAACCATTTGACACTTTAAAATTTTAAATTTCTAGTTCTTTACTTATAAATTCTTTGAGTCCATTAATTAGAATATTTTTAGCATGTGCAGCACAAAACCATTTTTACACTACATCGTTGATACTAATTGAATTGATTTTATGACGTTTTAAACATTTCACTATACTGTTAGATTTCCATAATTTTAAAACAGTTTTTTTATTTTTATTGAATTTGTGACTTAAATTTTGCATATTCCAAATTTATCTGCGAAAGCACATGCAGTCACATTTTTTTTCATAATACTCTAACAACTATATTTTCTCTGTTACAGTTAGGTTTTTTCATTTGGACGCCACCATAACCACACACTTTGCCAAACATTTTCAACTGACATAGGAAATTAATGAAACACAATAAAATTCATAGGCCCACTGTATTCATAGAGTTATCGTAAAAGTTTGATGAAATAACTACAAACTGCTATAAATAATTTGGAAAACCGCTTACTTTAAATTTCTTAAACTCCTTATATACTCCTATACAATTTATCTTATATTTTGACAGGTATTTAGAATGCCCGCTAAATAGAGGCATTAATGTATTTTTTCCATAACACTTGATGGGACTAAAAAAAATTACTGTTACATAGAGACCATTATGAAAGTTTTACTGTATATTTTTTTATTTTTTTTTTTGGTAATATAAGGTGTATATAAAATGTATACATTTTTTGATAAGTGCAGTTGTTTTTTAATTAAAAATATTTATTACTGAAAAATACTTGAAGTTATTCAAAATCTCTTTGGTGGTTGGAGATCAAAAATTACTTTTAACCATTTAACATGATGAAATTACATTTGTTTTTGACTTCTGCAGATAGATGTGGTAGAGATAAGATTTAAAAACTATACTTATTTATATCAGGTAATGAAATAATATAAGAAGAATATTTTAATACAATCAGTCGGTAATAAAAAGTTTAAAATTAATTAAATTACCATGCCTAATACTCTAGCCCACCAACCAGATAATTGGATTGAAATAGATGGAACACTGATCAATTTTCTCCGGTGGTACAGTATAACAGACTAGACACATAATAATATCTATTTAGTACCTAGTCACTATAGAGTGATAGTCAGTACCTTACCTAAACAAATAAAAGAAACATAGACAACATGAACAAAACAATTTTATTCTCTTTTACTAGGCTTTTAATCATAAATCTATTTGATACTCACTTGCCAATAATGAACCCAGCATCTATGTAATTTACTCTCTGAGAAAATATTCCTTACAACGTTCATAAGGCCAAGCTCATAGTCTGTTACTATAACAAGATCTTCATAGTTTAAACCCAAAATGTACCAAACAATCACGAAGAACGATTCATATGTGATCAGTTTTTTTTGTAGTTAGAGCATATACCATTGGAAAAAACTAAATAAAAAAAAAAAACTTAAAAAATACAATCATTGTCAAATATATTGTTACTTTTGGAAATATTTATATCTTTACTTTTACACTGATGTTATGGATATTTCTCAAAGTAACAATAATAATTAGTTAATACATGAAATCTTTTATAAATTTATTGATAATATACGTTTGAAATTTGAATTGTTCCAGCAGAATAACTTACTACATTCCTAAAACCTACATGAAACATAGGCACCCATTAATACATTCAGCACTTTAAGCTCCTGCAATGATCACTAATAATAGTTCTTCTTTGTATTCTTGAAAGGTCTCTAAATTTCCAAATACAACCCCAACATTTTCTTCTTCGGCCATTAAAAGGCATTATTCTTGAAAAAATCTAAATTAAATTTTTCAATAGGCCAACCAACCTCTTATGTGATTCATTAATTAAATTAATCTACCTATATCAACCAATTGATTTTTAATTAATTTGCTATACCAATTTTTAAAAAATTACATTATACTAAATTAAAAGAGTATTTGTTTGGCCATATATTGTGAAATCAAAAAAAAAAATAATTTAAAATAGATGCACAAGTTTAATGTTTACCTTGAAGCTGTACACTGTACAGTTGACACATATTGAATGATAGTAGGCTCGAGATTTCAATCAACTCCTCTAGACATGGAAGATTTTGTGGTTGGCGACTATGTTGCATTCATCTTACGCTCCAATCCGATTGTAAACAATTATAATTTTATGCAGCCTCAGTTTTTCTAAAATAGTTAAAACTATATTATAAATTATCACTATTGTTAAGAAGTAAAATCATTAAAGAATGTCTTAAATAGTAGATACATAGTTTTACACATATTTCAACAATAGATAATTTTTTCTAACTAATTCTTTGTCAATGAGTACTTAGTAGGTACTCATAACTTACTCTACAATCTCTCAATTTAACATTTTTCTGAAAGTGGTGGATACAGCTGTTGTTGGTCTTGTTACACAAATAACCCTCCTTAAATTGGAACATCCAAATTGTGGCAAATGATAATGATGAGCAAGTACTATCGAATACATCTTGAGATAGTTGGTTCTTTGGCTCCACATAATATTATCATATTTTTCATTTTGTTTAAAGCCATAACTGCACACCAATGGATTCTTTTTTTTTTCGTTTAGACAATGTGCCAAAATAATTGTACATGTGTCTTGAATCTTAAATGTTAAAAATATTAATATATTGTGTCTAAATTATTTTAATATATACAATTTTAAAAGTTGTACAAAATTAAAGTACCTACTGTAATTTTGCTTTCATTTTTCCATTGTGTATTTTGGCTGTTAGTGGGCAATTTTCTTCCGGGTTTACACATACCTACTAAATAAACATACAATTAAAAATTAATATAATTTTAAAATATTGTGTTAATTTATGTACAGTTTTGATTATCAAATAGTGTTGGACCTTAAACTTGTGCACCGATATGTGTGTAGGTGTATATATTTGTAGCATCCCATATGTGAAATGTCCAATTCATGAAATAAACAAATTCGTATCCATTCCGTGAAATAGCCAAATTGCCTAATACATGGAATGGACAAAAAGTTGTCTTATTTCATGAACTGGACAATATCACCTCCGGGGTGTAATACATACATTGACAGTCAAAGTAGATGAATAATTTTGAAAATAGTTTACTAGTTAGCACTTCCATTGCTCCGTTCCGGCACTAGTTTTATGGTTTATTAGTGTGAGTCGTCTATGGAAACTTTACGTACATTCCGCTAGCGATATTTTGATAAGGAAACCCAATGGTTCCCAAAATGCGTTGATATTCTTATACAGGCAATAAATAGACACGGACGTACGAAGTGAAGTAAACTAAAAGGCACTAAAAAGGAAATAAAAGGTAGTATTATAGTGACGTATGGCGCACTTCGACGACCTAAGAAAAATAAAAGGAAACCCCACGGACAAATTTTTATTTCACACACGTAGCTAAAGAAATGCTCTTTCAGACAGTGTGATAAAAAAACAGTTAATTCGAACATAAACGTAAAACAAGTCAAACAATTTAATTTTTATTTTATTCGTTTTAAAACCCTTCGCTTTTTAAATTATATTAAAATTCGTATTTTATTAATGTAAATATAATTTAAACAGCAATTTAATTCACTAGCATAATTCGGTTTATAAGTTCCTAATATGTTTTTAATAAATACCAGTAATTATTAATTTTGATTATTGTAAATATTGTTTACTTCAACAAATAATGAAATGCAGACAGTTCAACAATTGTTTGGTTTATCTACGCGAAATCCAATACGGCAATCGTATCACACAAACCACGGACGAAAATAAAAACGTATTTACAAAGAAAATGATACCCACCTTAAGTATTTCCAGGAACCATCAGTGAGTATATTAAATTCTAAGTATTGTGGACGCGATTAATTATCTCATCAGCAAGACGGCAACTTTCGAAGGGCTACATGGATTTTGAGAATATGAAATAATTTCTCAGTAGTTACTCATAAGTATGATACGACGTTATTGATTCCAATTATTTATGTTTTTTTTTTTTTTTCCCGAATTATTCGCCATTTTCTCGAAACATCGATAAAATTGAATAACAAGATAATATTTTCGTTATAAACTAGTTAATCAAATCCACCGATGTGTTTCCGGGAGAAAAGAAAACGTTCGCAATCCCTGCGGTGCTGGTCCTGTCTCGGCGTTTGGTCGTGCAGCGAATCGTGCGAGACCGCAAGACCGTCACCAATTTCGATCGATATCAATTGGTTTTAGGATGTGTATTTGTTCATAAAATCTAACGCCAAAACTGGCGATTTCGTACAAGACGAACACGGACTAAACCAAAACTGAAGAGAGACATGCGACAAACGCGGGGCAAATGAAATCTGGCGGATAAGAGGGCGGCGTTCAGTGGACGCAAAGCGCGATTGGCGAGGGGACGATTGTTAAACGCAACGGCACGCGTGATGCTCGCTGGACACCGTCAATATCGATATCGACCGGCGACGCGTGTTGCGACAAGTTCGCAACGGGAAACGTCGTGTAGCCTCAACGCGAGAATAATCATTATTTCCTACGAGATTGGTCGAATGGCAGTACAATTGCTTATCGCCGATCCTTTTTTTTTTTTTTTTTTCTGTCAAATAAGAACGAGCCGGTCGAAACCCGCGCGTGTCCTTCCCACTACGGACGGTTTCAGCGGCCGCCGGTCACGTCGCCTCGTGTACGTAGCGATTTGTGTACACGCAACGTTTAACGGCCGCTCGTACGTGTAACTCGATTATTTGAATGTGTCGAGTAATTCGATTATTAGAAAATTAATTCGAATGAAAATGTCAGTAGTTGGTGATTACTCGAAACAGTATCAGTAATCATTCTACTGTTTTATTGACTACTAATAACCATAACGTCACCTATATTACCATTTTCTTATCGCGGACGGTGTATCGAAACACGTGCCTGCACAATGACGTTCTTATCTCGCGCAAAGTATAATGATATACAATATGAATCAAAATAAAATAACCCATAGTTTACTATTCTGCGCAAATGCTAAGCAGACCATTATAATCATTTCCAGATGATTCTAGAATCATAAATGAAATTGGTAGTTGCTAATTTGCTATTGTTCCTATTCTAATTTTGATCAAACACATACCACATAATAATATTTAACTATTATATAAATAATTGAATGACCCTTATTTAGGTACATTTTATTGTATCGTTTGTTTCATTTATTGAAACCGTCCGCGTATCGTAAAAAGTTCAAAAAAAATTTTCAAATTTTAAAATGCGACCAAACGGTCAAAAACGTTCTGTAGTGTGGGAGCATTTTTAAACAAGTGCCGATAAAAGTGTAGTTAATTGTCAAATCTGTAAAAAAGAATTAAAGTTTTACGGAAATACAACTAATTTAAAAGGTAAGAATGTTGTAGATTTAATGAATAACGAGTGTTACTGCTCAGAATCTAAAATAGTATGAATTTTTACGATAAATTGAATGATTCTTATCTACTCGATTAGGTATATCGAATAAATCACTCGATTATGAAAATCAAAATGTTTGTCGATTAGATAACGATCTTAATCTATTCGATTAGGTACAATATTTCGATTATTTTAATCGAGTGAATCACTCGATTATGATAATATCTCGATTATCGAAATCATTCGATTATTCCCATCACTAATATTAAGTGGATAAGTACATTTTCTGTATGGCACGACGGTATCGATAGGCGACCAATCGGAAAACAATTACTAATTTTGTGGTAGGGGCGTGTGATTCAACCTCTGATAACGATGCGCGACGCGGTGCGTTCTCAAAAAATTGAAAATGTATTTATTTTATAATCAGCTGTCAAATAACACGTAATAAATAAAGTAGATAATAAAATCCGAATGAAATATTTATGGGTTGCCCACAAACTATAACACAACTATAATCTGTAATCGTTGTCAACGAAAAAACGATTCTGAGCGGAGTTCGATGATACATTCTGTTTAGTGTAACAATTGTATTCACGAGGACTTATGAAAAAATAAAAAAAAGGTTTCAAATGTTTTTAAAATATTATTGCGTCTAGAAAAGGTCAATGTAAGTTTACATTTTAAATTTCAATTTTCCACAATTATTTTTAACTGAATTACAATAAAGACTCCCAAAATTAAAATGTCTTCAAATAGCTCTAAAATAACTAAAATGTTTTGGAACAAAAATCTTGTCATTTTTCGATTAGAGTAATATTTCTGGTAGAAACCGTCGTCCATACTTTTTTAAAATAATGAAATCGTAAAATCGAACTGTTTTTCTCAATTAGGTGATATTTCGAAAATACGGCATCGAAAATCAAATAATGGCCTCTTTAAAGTACAAACTAGAGAAAATTTTCTTTCGGAAACGATGCTACTTTTGAGCAAGATTTATAAGCATAGCCCTACTTAGAGGGAGGCTAAGGAGGCTACAGTCCTGGTCCTCAATATAATAAGGGGCTCCCATATATATATATATATATTAATTTGGTTTTAAAATTATTTTTGTTAAATTTGTTAAAGTACAAGATATTTACTAAAAATACCACTTGTGACAGAATTCTAAATTGTTATTTAATCAGTATTCAATAAAATTATCTATGAAGATAAAGCTGGGAAACCATGAATTGTGAAAAAAAAAACAAACGAATTTTCAATAAACATTTTATCCTACTCTGACGATAAGGAAAAACGAGTAAGAAAAAATAATCCCCGTATGATACAGTTGAAAATAATTTAAATATTTGAAATATGAAAAAGACGGACATACTTTAGCACATGTTTGGGCCACTATTGTAGGTGTGAAGTTGGGAAAGTAAAGGAGAAATTAACTGTATATCTGTACGTAATCATTGACAACCATTTTTTAATCTAAAATACCAGGTTTTCCTCATTATCTAGAATATTAATGAGAATTTCAAAAAATAACCTCTTTAAGGACCAACCAGAGAACATTTCTTTTCAGAAAAGGTGCTATACTTGATAATCGGAGTAAGCTTTCTGATAAAAAGTGTTCATATAAAATAATAATAATAATAATAAACATCATTGTAAAACCAACCAATAGATAACGAGACACGTAATATTTCTAAATGTAAATATTGCGTGGTGCGTGAACGTTTTAAATCCTTTTGATCAACGAATAATAATATAACGTATGCGTTTGACAATTTAAAATGTTGACAACTCAATGAACAGAACTACCCAGACACCAGTTGAGCACTCAATTAATACCTATCATGAACTTCCTGTTGGAAAGCATTTGAACATTCGCAGGACCTTGATTTATGGCACATTAATATTATTATTATTAAATTGTTATTAGGTATTTTTTAAAATTTATAAGGCAGTACACAATTTTTACAAACACACAGCACAAAAAGTATTCACGAACAGAATGTAGTCACAAATATTTGATTTAAGAAATCACCCATTAATAATACTAGACTATGACTACAATATTACAGTTGACTTATTGACTAATAGTATGGTAAAATAATTATATAGGTATTAAATATTTTCTTTAATAAT